AGTGTTACACCAGTGATAGCACTTGCATCCACTAGCTTTACAGGGTTACACAGATGGTGGGGGTAACATACTGTACATGCACTATAATGATTGTTACAAGGACGTAGTTACAATGACGTATGCTGAGGAACGATGAAAAGAACGTTGTCCAGTGTGTCACGGAGTAGTTAGATAACAATTATACACTCTGTAGGTAACGTTAGAATAGGAAAATATAGCAATACCTCTGTGAAAAGCCAAGCCGTCCAAGACAAGTCAAACAAGGCTTACTTTTCAACACTTGCAAAACGGAGGAGGCTTTTGGAAAAGTGTTGCACGTGGATTTTTCGAAAATAAAACATGCACGCACATGATTTATTTCCATTATTTCCTGGCTAATAACCATTAAAATGAGTCGTTGCAACGTCGGGGTGAGAGATGTGTACTTCAGCAACACCTAAATGTGAAAAAAACTGCAACTTCCTTTGCTTAATTCAAAATGCAAGTAGTATGTAAAAATAAAGCATAAGCACGTTTGTTAGCACAATGGCCAATAATTTCAACATTAAACTGATGAACATACACCGTTGCAAAGCGATTTAAGAGCGATCAAATAATATTGTCTCGTTTGTTATTATTACCAACAATTCAAATCATTATTACTCTGATTTGCAAAAAAAAGCTACACTGATCTGTTGGCGGCAAAACATTTCCAATTAAATGTAATTGGTATTCATGCCATCAGCGCCTCTTCGTTTGATGTGGTGCAATAGTGACGCATAGAGAGTCGGTTAACACTACATCACAGAACGTAAGCTTACTTCTCACAATCCAACCTGCCTGGATCAATACGCAGAAATCAATTATATGCAATGAATTCATGGATGGTACATTAGCTGATCTTCCTATGATGTGGGATTATAGATATATAAAAAAAAAAATTAGTCACAAATATTTAATATTAATAATAAATGAAGAAATATCAAAGAAACAAAATTTGTATATAATGTAATTCCTTGTTGTGTATTTTTTAAACATAACATGATAGAAGCAAAATCCCATCATGTCTTGACTGTCCCGTAGTGTTGTGTGTCCCGTAGTGTTGTGTGTCCCATAGTTTAGCGTGTCCCGTAGTGTTGTGTGTCCCGTCGTGTAGCGTATCTTGTAGTGTTGTGTGTACCGTAGTGTTGCGTGTCCCGTAGTGTTGTATGCCCCGTAGTGTTGTATGTCCCGTAATGTTGTGTGTACCGTAGTGTTGTATGTCCCGTAGTGGTGTATGTCCCGTAGTGTTGTATGTCCCGTGTGTTGTATATCCCGTAGTGTTGTATGTCCCGTAGCGTAGCGTGTCCCGTAGTGTTGTATGTCCCGTAGCGTAGCGTGTCCCGTAGTGTTGTATGTCCCTATGTCCCGTAGTGTTGTGTATCCCGTAGTGTTGTGTGTCCCGTAGTGGTGTATGTCCCGTAGTGTAGCGTGTCCCGTAATTTTGTATGTCCCTTAGTGTTGTATGTCCCGTAGTGTTGCGTGTCCCGTAGTGTTGTGTGTCCCGTAGCGGTGTGTGCCCCGTAGTGTTGTGTCCCGTAGTGTTGTATGTCCCCCGTAGTGTTGTGTGTCCCGTACTGTAGCGCGTCCCGTAGTGTTGTGTGTCCCGTAGTGGTGTATGTCCCGTAGTGTTGTATGTCCCGTGTGTTGTATATCCCGTAGTGTTGTATGTCCCGTAGGGTAGCGTGTCCCGTAGTGTAGCTGTCCCGTAGTGTTGTGTATCCCGAAGTGTTGTATGTCCCGTAGTGTTGTTTGTATGTCCCGTAGTGTAGCGTGTCCCGTATTGTTGTATGTCCCGTAGGGTAGCGTGTCCCGTAGTGTAGCTGTCCCGTAGTGTCGTGTATCCCGTAGTGTTGTATGTCCCGTAGGGTAGCGTGTCCCGTAGTGTAGCTGTCCCGTAGTGTTGTGTATCCCGTAGTGTTGTGTGTCCCGTAGTGTAGCGTGCCCCGTAGTGTTGAATGTCCCGTAGTGTAGCGTGTCCCGTAGTGTAACTGTCCCGTAGTGTTGTGTATCCCGTAGTGTTGTGTGTCCCGTAGTGTTGAGTGTCACATAATTCTTTGATATGTCCCGTAGTGTTGTGTGTCCTGTAGTTTAGCGTGTCCCGTAGTGTTGTGTGTCCCGCAGGGTTGTGTGTCCCGTAGTGTTGTATGTCCCCCGTAGTGTTGTGTGTCCCGTACTGTAGCGCGTCCCGTAGTGTTGTGTGTCCCGTAGTGTCGCGTGTACCGTAGTGTAGCGTGCCCCGTAGGGTTGTATGTCCCGTAGTGTTGTATGTTCCGTAGTGGTGTGTGTCCCGTAGTGTTTCGTCCCGTAGTGTTGTATGTCCCGTAGTATTGTGTGTCCCGTAGTGTTGTAGTGTTGTATGTCCCGTAGTGTTGCGTGTCCCGTAGTGTTGTGTGCCCCGTAGTGTAGCGTGTCCCGTAGTGTTGTGTGCCCCGTAGGGTTGTGTGTCCTGTAGTGTAGCGTGTACCGTAGTGTTGTGTGTCCCGTAGTGGTGTATGTCCCGTAGTGTTGTGTGTCCTGTAGTGTTGCGTGTCCCGTAGTGTTGTATGCCCCGTAGTGTTGTATGTCCCGTAATGTTGTGTGTACCGTAGTGTTGTATGTCCCGTAGTGTTATGTGTCCCGTAGTGCCGTAGTGTTGTGTGCCCCGTAGTGCTGTATGTCCCGTAGTGGAGCGTGTCCCGTAGTGTTGTGTTCCCCGTAGTGTTGTATGTCCCGTAGTATTGTGTGTCCCGTAGTGTTGTAGTGTTGTATGTCCCGTAGTGTTGCGTGTCCCGTAGTGTTGTGTGTCCCGTTGTGTTGTATGTCCCGTAGCGTAGCGTGTCCCGTAGTGTTGTATGTCCCGTAATGTTGTGTGTACCGTAGTGTTGTATGTCCCGTAGTGGTGTATGTCCCGTAGTGTAGCGTGTCCCGTAATTTTGTATGTCCCTTAGTGTTGTATGTCCCGTAGTGTGGTGTATCCCGTAGTGTTGTATGTCCCGTAGGGTAGCGTGTCCCGTAGTGTAGCTGTCCCGTAGTGTCGTGTATCCCGTAGTGTTGTATGTCCCTTAGTGTTGTATGTCCCGTAGTGTTATGTGTCCCGTAGTGTTATGTCCCGTAGTGTTGTGTGTCCCGTAGTGTAGCGTATCTTGTAGTGTTGTGTGTCCCGTAGTGTTGCGTGTCCCGTAGTGTTGTATGTCCCTTAGTGTTGTATGTCCCGTAGTGTTGTGTATCCCGTAGTGTTGTGTGTCCCGTAGGGTTGTGTGTCGTAGTGTAGCGTGTCCCGTAGTGTAGCGTGCCCCGTAGTGTTGTATGTCCCGTAGGGTTGTATGTCCCGTAGTGTTGTGTGGCCCGTAGTGTTGTGTGTCCCGTAGTGTTGCGTGTCCCGTAGTGTTGTGTGTCCCGTAATGTTGTGTGTCCCGTAGTGTTGTATGTCCCGTGGTGTTGTGTGTCCTGTAGTGTCGCGTGTCCCGCAGTGTTGTGTGTCCCGTAGTGTAGCGCGTCCCGTAGTGTTGTGTGTCCCGTAGTGTAGGGTGTACCGTAGTGTAGCGTGCCCCGTAGGGTTGTATGTCTCGTAGTGTTGTATGTCCCGTAGGGTTGTATGTCCCGTAGTGTTGTATGTTCCGTAGTGGTGTGTGTCCCGTAGTGTAGCGTGTCTTGTAGTGTTGTGTGTCCCGTAGGGTTGTATGTCCCGTAGTGTTGTATGTTCCGTAGTGGTGTGTGTCCCGTAGTGTAGCGTGTCCCGTAGTGTAGCGTGCCCCGTAGTGTTGTATGTCTCGTAGTGTTGTATGTCCCGTAGTGTTGTGTGATCCGTAGTGTTGTGTGTCCTGTAGTGTAGCGTGCCCCGTAGTGTTGTATGTCCCGTAGCGTTGTATGTCCCATAGTGTTGTGTGTCCCATAGTGTTGTGTGTCCCGTAGTGTTGTGTGTCCCGTAGTGTAGCGTGTCTCGTAGTGTTGTGTGTCCCGTAGTGTTGTGTGTCCCGTAGTGTTGTATGTCCCGTAGTGTTGTGTGTCCCGTAATGTTGTGTGTCCCGTAGTGTTGTATGTCCCGTAGTGTTGTGTATCCCGTAGTGTTGTATGTCCCGTAGTATTGTGTGTCCCGTAGTGTTGTGTGTCCCATAGTGTTGTGTGTCCCGTAGTGTTGTGTGTCCCATAGTGTAGCGTGTCCCGTAGTGTTGTACGTTGCGTTGTGATGTATGCCCCGTGGTGTTGTGTGTTATGTAGTGTTGTGTGTCCCGTAGTGTTGAGTGTCACATAATTCTTTGATATGTCCCGTAGTGTTGTGTGTCCTTAGTGTTTTGTTTCCCGTGGTGTTGTGTGTTACGCAATGTTATACACAGATACAAAGATTATGTGATCCGTAGTTTTAGGTGTCCCGTTGTGATTTTCGTGTTACGACCCTGTTGTGTTTTCGTAGTATAATGTTTACGACACTGCTGTATTCCCGAAGTGTAATGTTTACGACACTGCTGTATTCCCGAAGTGTAATGTTTACGACACTGCTGTATTCCCGAAGCGTAATGTTTACAACACTGCTGTATTCCCGAAGTGTAATGTTTACGACACTGCTGTTTTCCCGTAGTGTAATGTTTACGACCCTGCTGTGTTCCCGTAGTGTAGTGTTTACGGCCCTGCTGTGGTCCCGTAATGTAATGTTTACGGCCCTGCTGTGTTCCCGTAGTGTAATGTTTACGGCCCTGCTGTGTTTTCGTAGTGTAATGTTTACGACCCTGCTGTGTTCCCGTAGTGTAATGTTTACGGCCCTGCTGTGTTCCCGAAGTGTACTGTTTACGGCCCTGCTGTGCTCCCGTAGTGTAATGTTTACGGCCCTGCTGTGTTCCCGTAGTGTAATGTTTACGACCCTGTTGTGTTCCCAAAGTGTAATGTTTACGACCCTGCTGTGTTCCCGATGTGTACTGTTTACGGCCCTGCTGTGTTCCAGTAGTGTAATGTTTACGGCCCTGCTGTGTTCCCATGGTGTAATGTTTACGGCCCTGCTATGTTCCCTAAGTGTAATGTTTACGACCCTGCTGTGTTGCCGAAGTGTACTGTTTACGACCCTGCTGTGTTCCCGTAGTGTAATGTTTACGGCCCTGCTGTGTTCCCGTAGTGTAATGTTTACGACCCTGCTGTGTTGCCGAAGTGTACTGTTTACGACCCTGCTGTGTTCCCGTAAAGTAATGTCTAAGACCCTGCTGTGTTCCAGCTGTGTCATGTCTGCGACCATGCTGTGTTCCCGTAAAACCGTAGTGTAATGTGTACTGCCCTGCTGTGTTCCCGTAGTGTAATGTATATGACCCTGCCGTGTTATGCATCGAATTCATCACAGTTTACATATTCAATCAGTCACTCACTCTCTCGGAACTGTTGGCAGCTTCATTCAATTAACCATGTGATATAATAAAGTACACTGTTAACGACGTTAGCAACTCTTTAAGGGGTCGCTACAAGTCCCATTTCTGATTCACCGGGAAAATATATAATAGATATACATACGATCATGACATGTTTATGCTTGTAAGATAAATCTGTCAGGATGTTTCATAAAAATAATTCCTCATTAACCAGACCGATATGATAAAATCATCTATCGACCGCCATCGTCAGCAGAGATCATTGTGGGGTATTCTGTTTTTACGGTACTTCCGTTGTTTAGAATTGTTAAAAATTCGTTGGTGCACATCGCCCTCGTTGCCACTACTTTCGTTAATCTCCGCAATCACAGACCTCCTGTAATCAAACGCTGGTAGAGGCTGCTTTGTCACTGGACTACCATTCATACCTTCGAACCGTGGAGAGTTATTTCCGGAAGACGAGGAGGATCGTCTCCTCGACCGGATACTAGCGGATCGGATAGAACTTCTGTGGAACGACCGGAATGGTGTCGATTTGTTGAATGTCAGATAGCCCTTAAATTTAATGAGAAAAGTAGATTAAAACATGTCTCTATATACATATCAAACGATCAGTATAAACGTGACGAGAATAGGCTCGAACAGGAAGTCATGAAATCAAAATACCAGGAAAGGGTAATAAACATGAAAAAGGTGAACACAAACGAAGCTTAAATATCACTCGATCAGTAATTACTACATATATTTTAATGGCTGCGGATATTATCTTATTCTGCTCTACAATTTTTATGGCAAATCAATTAGTATAGTATCTCCACGCGTCCAACATATTCAGATTGCTCTAGTCAACAGTCATGGTGGTCATGCTGCGCAATGAAAAACAAATTCGTTTTTAACGAAGAAGACCAGGATTCGATTCTGTGTTATGGCGTTAAAAAGGTGTAAGTCAACTGTCCGGCTACAGGCGTTCTTTCCCGTTGCATTTTCTTTACCCTACATACTTGAAAATACTTTAAACTTTCAACAGACTTTTTGTATAATTTACACTTTTATGCCATTCAGTTACACTGTCTACATAAACGTGTACTTTAATCTTTCTACATCCTACATGCTTCTTCTAATTCGCATTATATATTAAAACATCCTATACTTATATATACTTTCTGTAGTCTGTCTTTATTTCTATACACTTGGATATACTTTCTAATTTCTATAATGTGAGTAAAGCGTATCAATGAAGGTACCGTACGTTCCTGATTACACGTTAGCTGGGCTAATTCAAGCAACAACTGGTTAACCCGTTGTCAGTATAATAGGACCGGGTGAACTATTAGTCTGGGTATGGTATTTCAGTGAGGTAGCACTCTTAGTCGACATCAGATCTACGCTATTACATGGAGGCAGACACATTTGTACAACAACATACCCTCTCTCCGGCACATACACACATCCACGCATACATAACACACACAGAGGCACGCCCTTATATACATTGTCGCTAAGCTGTAAATAGGACATTAAAAAAAATAAAACCAAAGCAAAACCAATTCCCCCGTAGCTCACCTGTCCGAATCCACCTTTGTACGGTTCCTTCTTCACACTTCTGATTATACACCTCATGACGTAATGTCTGAAGGATTTGTGTAGAAAACAGTATAGGATAGGATTGGTGACACAATGTACGTGACCTATGAGCAGCATGTACGGACTGAGGCGCTCGGCCGCGCGCACATCCATGCTGAAGTCCAAGTACGTGTTGATCACAAAGTATGGCGTCCAACACGCTATAAACACTATAGCGATGGTAATACACAGTTTTGCCAGTCGGCGTCTGTTTCTGGTTATATTTCGAAGGCTTCTTTCCCGCTCGCTATCTGTCCTTTTACCCCTTCCGGACTTTCGGGTGTCGTCACTGAGTTTCCGGTCAGGGACCCATAAACGTTTGCCCATTAGGAGATACGCTACGAGGATGGTTGTTCCTGGAATGATACAGATGATGAAAAGAAGTGTGACGTCATAAACTTGTCTGCTGGCGATATTAACCCACTCCTCCATACAATACGTCATCACGGTTCCGAGCAGAATATCATGTGACACTGTGATGCGGACGAATAATATAGGTACGGACAGCAGGAAGGACACACACCAGATGACGATGATGACGATACGGACATATTTGGTGGTACGGACGTTTCGGAACTTCATGGGATGTCTGATGGCAAGACACCGGTCGATACTCATAGTGGTGATGGTAAGGGTACTGGCGGTGACGGACACACCTAAAAACAACAATACATGGAGTAATAACGGAACATAACGGAACAGGGTACTGGCGGCGACGGACACACCTACAAAACAACAGAATAGGGAGTAATAACGGAACATAACGGAACAGGGTACTGGCGTTGACGGACACACCTGAAAAAAAACAATAATACAGGTAGTTATAACGGAACATAACGGAACAGGGTACTGGCGGTGACGAACACACCTAAAAAACAATAATACAGGTAGTTATAACGGAACATAACGGAACAGGGTACTGGCGGTGACGGACGCACCTAAAAAAACAAAAAAAACAGCGATATTTCTAAACATTTTGTACAGGTTGGTAAGTATGGATTATGAAAAGTTCTTTTTTACATAACCAATACAATTTCCTATGTGACGATGCCACCTTCATCAGACAAAGGTGTAAAATGTGTACGAGTTGTCCACAAAATCTATGTCGATTTCGGCTACGCTGTAAGCGAATATACAATAGTTGTTATATATGAACCGAAATGACTCGATCCATCTACGTTTTGTTTAATACTTGGTCATAGATGTGCGAGAGGCTTTGAGCCCCCTCGTCTCTGTTAAGTACTGGCCCACTTCGGCGTATCCAGATGGCCTCATTTATCTGCTGCTTGAACAGATTGCTCTCTCTGTCCAAAACTTTGGATTTATCCTTGTCAGTCACATGATTTTTCTGTGTGGCATGGTCTGGGATTGTCGATCTATTTATCTGGGACTCCGACTGCTTCCTTTCTGATCTTGTGAATATCCTACCTTCTGGGGTTTATGTATATTAATCGTGTTCACCAAGGCGGGCCCTAAAACGCCTTCCAGCCTCTCCAGTATACGACGCGCGCAGTTATTGCATCCGATTTTGTATACACATTCTGTGACGGTTTTTTCAGGTGTTTTATCCTTTGGGTGTACTTGGATATTGCGAAGCGTCTTGTGTGGCTTCATGGCTGTTGCTATGCCATGACCGCCTGGACGGTTTCGGATATACCCTTTATATACGGGATGACCACTTAACTTTTGGTTTTGTTATCATCCTTGATTGGTCTTTTCTTGTTCTTATCCTTACTTTGTACACGTTTTAGGGCCCATTCCAGATATGTACATGCTCTCATTACCCTAGCGATGTGATTCTGCTCTTGTGTTTTGTCCTGTTGTTCTGTGACTATTGTATCTCACCTGTTTAGCAATGTGCGTACGACGCCTAACTTCTGGTGCAAAGGATGGTGAGATTTGAAGTTCAGGAATTGGTCCGTATGGGTCCTTTTTCTATAGACCAATACCTTCACGGTTCCGTCTTCTTTCTTAAACCAATATAGTGTCTAGGCATGGTGCCGTTGGTGTTAATTTGATGTTGTTAGTGGCATCTATGGTGTGGATATGTGTGGTCAAATCCTTATTTGACCCCTTCTTGATTATCTCAAGTATGTCGTCAATATAACGTTTCCATAAGCTAGGCTTGCATTCTATGGGGGCAGTGGCTATTGATTCTTGCTCCAGATGTTCCATGAACAAGTTGGCCACAATGGGAGACACTGGATGACCCATAAAATAGCCGAAGCGTTGTTGATAGATGTTGTTTCGGAAAATAAAATATGTTGTTGTCAGCAAGAATTCCAGCAAATCCATGATGTCCTAAATCTGGATGTTTGCGCCAGGATCTGTCTAAATCTAAGCGTTTCCGAATGATTCTTAGTGCGTCGTCAACTGGTTTCTTTCACCAGATCAGAAAGGAAGCAGTCGGAGTCCCAGATAAATAGATCGGCAATCAAAGACCATGCCGCACAGAAAAACCATGTGATTGACTGGGATAAATCCAAAGTTTTGGACAGAGAGAGAGCAATCTGTTCAAGCGGCAGATAAAGGAAGCCATCTGGATACACCGAAGTGGGCCAGTTCTAAACAGAGACGAGGGGCCTCAAAGCCTCTCGCACATCTATGACCAAGTATTAAACAAAGCGTAGATGGATCGAGTCATTTTGGTACTTATATAACAAGTATTGTAAATACGCTTACAGCGTAGCCGAAATCGACATCGGTTCTGTGGACAACTCGTACACATTTTACACCTTTGTGTGCATACGCTTCATTGGTCATTTGTCTGATGAAGGTGACAGTGTACATATTGTACTAGTCATCGAAACGTCACATAGGAAATTGTATTGGTTGTGTAAAAAAGAACCTTTCATAAACAATACAGGGAGTTATAACGGTACCTATAACACCGAAAAAAAGGACAGTCAAATTTCCTTAGTCAATAAAGCAGCCGTGAGGTTCAATCCTGATTGTTGCAGCTTAAGATGTTCATTCCTTATATTTCTTAGATAACGTATTTTAGTTTGCAATATTATGTTCAAGGAATGGTGTCTATAATGCCCTTTTTGGGCCCCGGTATATTCGGTTTCTGGGTGTACCAAAAGTGGTATGGTAAATCACAAATATAGTTTGCTGTTTTTAAAATGAGCTTAAAAACCAAAATAAAACCAAAATAATACCATTTCTGTTTTTGAAAACATGTATAAATTAGACAAGCATATGTAACGGAATGAAAAATGACAGAAATCCAATCGTCACTTAAAGATTGTTATATAAACGAAAGAATAACTTAGGGGGGTCTTTTCGGTCATTTTCAATTGAAAAGTAATTTGTTTTCTCAATAATTTCCTTTCTAATTTCGCTTTGATAGATTACATGTATGTGGAAGTGATGCGGCGCTGAACGGACTTGATTGTTTCCGTGGAAACGCTTATGTTTCCATCGACTGCAATATTACGTTATTTTCAGAAGCATATATACTCGGAAATGTTTAATTAAAGTGGTCATTTCAGTACAATGTAGGTGATAACGATTCCAAGAACATTTTGTTTGAAACAGATTCCATGTCTAATCGGTCAGATTAGCATCGCTAGCAAACGACGTTGACATGGGCTCGGTTTCGTGATTTTGAGTAATGGATGACATCACTGAAGAACCACAACACTTAAAAAGGTATGTATATACATTCTTAAACCTTGTTGATACCCTCGACTTTTACAAGGTTTTATAAATGCTGAATTTTAGTGTTGTGGTTATTCACTGATGTTATGCATAACTCAAAATCTCGAAACCGAGCCCCTGTGTGATGACGTTGACAAACTTGTTAATTTCGTATCTAGAATGGCGCTTACAATAATTTTGTGGTACCTACACATCTTGTAATAAATGTTATTGTCATAATTTTTCAAGTTGTTTTATTTTATGTGATGACCTACATTGCTAAATTCTAACGAACCCAGACAGTTCTCTGACTATAGGCCTATTGATATCGGTTTGTTTGTTTACCTTGTACCAGTTGTATTCCTACACTGGCCGTACCACTGTAAATTCTAGTATACAATCTCATATACTGTAATTTGGTTTACTAACGACATATAGGCAAATGCAACACGGAATGTAAATATAGCTTAATATTATTTGGTCTGTTCCCATGTAGGAACAACAAGGTCATTCTTTAACTGTTTGCTTGCTGAATCCCGCCCGACCCACTGAAAATCGAATCTACTGTAAAAATTTCTTAAAATGTTAACTTTTTTTAACTCAATTTTTCTGAGAATTAACGCTTACATACTTGCCCACTAAGCAAAATAAGCAAACAATAGTTATAAGGATGGCCCAGTTGGTTAAATACACTAACTTTAACCGACGTTACGTTAGACCATCAATTAGAATGCTGAATTAGAAAGTGAGCGTAACCCTTTGATATCGAGGATGAATTCTGCCTAGCTGAAACAAAACGACTTGATGACACATTAGTCAGAGGATGTACTTTATATAAGCTCGCTCGGCACTTACAATATTTCTTTGAATAA